AACCTTAAACCCCTATAGGCCCTGCACCCTACAACCCAAGAGCCCAAGAACCCTAAAACCCCACAACCCAAATAGCTCACGTCATAACCCTGTCACCCTCGCCTCGAGGAACAGGCCCCAGTCCCCTCTATTGAGAAGCCGAGGAGCTTCCGCCCCTCCGCTCTATGGGTTGGCCTTCGAGCGCAATCGCAGTAGGGTTTAGGAAGTTTAGGAAGTTTAGGAAGTTTAGGAAGTTTAGGAAGTTTAGGAAGTTTGGGAAGTTTAGGAAGTGTAGGAGTTTGGGTTTAGGGCTTAGGATGTCCAGTCTTGTGTATTCGTCGCTCGTTGAGGTTATCACTTCAGGCAGAGAGCCTTCGCGAATCTTAACGTTTAGTTGCCTGAATGTTTGCCGCACTCTCCATATTGCAGCTCTGAGCCATCAAGGGTTCCGATGTTAGCCGTTGCAGCAAAGTCCGGCATGGAATCTAGCGACTGCGCCGGAGTTCGACTTCGCTCAATGCGTTCAGGTTGGCTTCGACACCTGAAGCCTCAGTCGAGTCAACAGCTCCAGCGCTCCACCTGTCCAAACTCAAATGCTTGCTGAACGCCCTATACGCCCTGGTTAAACCCTAAACCCTCAGCCTCACGTCGACTCTCAGCAGAAAACCAGATTCAAGTTTTGGAATTAAAGGCTTAGAGGTTTTACGGACACCAACTGGGAACATTCTTCATCTTCCCTAATGCTTACTTAGTTTGGTGTTTTGTAACGGTGCTCGTTTGTAAAGCTTACGTCCGTTGAGCCCTAGACCCCGGCCCCCAGCCCCCCACCTACACATCTCCCCATGCCAAGCATCCAAAACGCCCGGTCAGAACTGCCGAAAGGGCTCTACTTGGGGTGTCAGCCTCTTGCAGGGCTACTTCAACCCTATCTATTGACTTCCACATCCCCCCTTATGTGTGTACACATATATGAAGATGTATACATATATATATACATACATATATCCGTGGGTTCCTTCACTATTCCTCGGCTCCTTGGGGAGCCTTGTGAGGGCGCTTGGATGAGAGATGGTCTTCCACTGCCTGATGGGTCTCATGCTACCACGCACGAGTCGAGGAAGCCTCGCCGGTGGCACCTGAACACCATGCCGTGCAGGGGGCACCCTCAGCACCCCTATCGTAAGCCGCCTTAAGCTGGGTCCTGAACGCAATCCTTACTAGACACCGCCTAGCAGTACCTCTATTCACATTCCTAGGCCCTTGAAGAGTAGGTTGATGTTATGTTCTGGTGGGTGCTAAAGGGCAACCCTGAACAACCCGTTTCCCCTAACGGTTTCCGCCAGGAAGTCCCTAAATTCTACGTCTTAAGCCCTAACCCACGTTCAGTGTGTTGGGCCTCTGTTCAGAGCCTGCTCCATATTGGTGTTTAAGGGGGTGGGGGGTCGTAGGTTGAGGGTCCCTAAACCCTAAGCCCCAAACCCCAAAAAAGCTTCGGCCCCGAAGCAAGGTCTGGTCAAGGTGCCGTCGGTTCGTTCTGCGAAATTGTACAGCATGCGGTTTCGGGGCGACGCCAGCCGGCCAACCTGTCAAAATCGGCTGTGAGTCGCTCAACCTGGGTGGCTGATACATTGTGGGCTTCGCACTTGAGGGTCGCGAGGCCATCGTCTTGTACATTCTCTTGGGGCCTTCAGGGTTCAGGGTTTAGGCCCTTCAAGCAAGTAGGTTTGGGGATTTTAAGGCACCGCTGGGGTAAAGGAGGGCTTCCTCACCAGCCACGAAGTTCAGAGCAAGATGGTTAAAGATTGAGGGTTTGGGGGTTCAGGGTTCTGGGGTCTCGAGGGTTGAAACGTCAAGGGTTTAGGGCTCAGGGGTTTAAGTCTAAGGGTTTCAATGATGTGGGAGGCTAGGATCCTCAGCGGTGCCCTCATTCCTTTTTTGGTAGGACCAAGCCCGCTACATAAATCTCACGAGGAAATCTTTGCTTCCATGGACATCTGACAGGCCCACTAAGCCCTTAAAAAGCCAAAATTCCTACAAGCAAATTTGAAACCTCAAAGCCCGACACCCTAACATCCCAAGAGCCGAAAGCCCTTGCTCAAGCCTTGCGCTAGAAGCCCGAAACGCCTTCACCAACAGCTCTAAATCCCTCTCAATCCTAAGCTCCGGGCCAATCATACACCCCAAAGCCCTACAATCCCAAAACACTTGAACACAAAAGCACCGAAAGAACCCAAACCCCTACGCCCCTCGACCCTAACCCGAAGCCCCTACAACACCTCCTTATAACCCCCAGGGCACTGAGGTTTTCCTCAACTCCGGCCAGCCCCGTAAGCCTGGAACATCTGGGCACCTTGAGGTCCGTATGGCCCTGGACCGCCGCAACTACCGGCAGCTGGTGGACACCACAGTGGAGATTGCCAACAAGGCCCGCCCCCCTGCCCCCCCTAAAGGGCTGGCTGGGCAAGTGCTAGGAGCTCGTTTTTTGATCTTCTTCTTCTACTTCTTCTTCTTCTTCTTCTGCTTCTTCTTCTTTTTTTTCGGGGGCGGGGGCGATGGGGGGCTTTCCAGGCGCTGAGGTGTTGGTTTTTGAGGGCTTGTTTTTGGGGGTTCTGGTGTTTTTGGCTGTTGTTCGGAGCTTGTGAAGGGGGCCTTGTGGGGCGATTGGCCTAGGGCCGAAACAGCGTGTAGTATCAGTTTTGGGAGCTTTAGAACCCATTTGACGGTTTAAGGTTTAGGAAGCCCTACGCCTTCAAACCTTCATCCCCAAAAGGATCCAAAACAGGGTTCTTGTTGGGTTCCCGATGGTCGATGGCACCATTATAATAAAGACCCATAAAGAAGCCTGATTTCGAGCACTACCCAAGTGAACTCACCCCGTGCAATAACAGTCGTGCCCATGATGTCCTTATCTTTCTTGTTTACATGTTACATAGTTCTGACGGGGATATTGTATTGTTCATGGTTCTGAGGGAAGTATAGTTAGAAGAACTAGAAAGGCCTATCGGGATATTTAAAAATGTCCTTTTTGGGGGAATTCTGAGGGTCTTTCATCTTTTTAGAGACCCGAAGCGGCGAATCCCTAAAATGCATTTCCAGAGCAGGTGGGTGGCGCCGACATCATCGGGCGAATTGTGGAGGCCTTCTTTGTCTCATCTTGTGGTGTTTGGTTGCAGGTTTAAGGCTTAAGGGTTTATAGGTATGGTTTAGGGCATTGTTACGGGGCTTAAGGCTCAGGCCTTCAAGGCTTTAGGTTTAGAGTCTTAAGGGTGTTAAGGTTCAGGGCTCAGGGTATGGAATTTGGGTTTGGCTCTTTTCGGTGCAGGGATGTTGTGAGCCTAGGGCGGCAGACGAGTGCACTTAGCACCTCATGCTTCGCTGAGAATGGCAGCTCAAGCGACATATGGGTGCAGAGCGGCTGCTTCGCAGCGTAGGTTTTGGGAACCCTTAACTCTGGTAGGCAGGACAAGAGTTTTCATGAACGTGGCAAGCACAACCCATGCTAATGTTGGTAAATACAGCCCCTCGCAATTTCCAAATGTCAAATGCTGAGCCCCTAACTAACACTTAGCCTCTAAACTCCAAAGCTTTTGTCTCTGAATCCTGAAACCCGAAACCTGAAGCTTCAGACCGTGAACCCTCACAAGTATGTACTCACGACATCACAAGCCTGAAGGCACAAGCCGTCAACTCTTAACCACCCCCCGTACCCCAACAAATGCCTGGACTCTAAACCTGTAAAACACAACTCTAGTAAACCCTACAATCCCAACCCGAAACCCGGAATCCCACATCCCCAAACCCTTTAGCAACTTTAACCTATGGTGCCTTGCAGGACCTTAAGGACGCTTCGGAACCCTACCGGAAGATGGTCATGGAGACCATCGACAAGGCAGGGTCCAGGGTGCCTTCTTTGTTGTAGGTCCATTGTTGCAGACCAGGGTTTAAAATTCTCGGGCAATGCTTTGGGGTATGGCGTGTACGGCCGGGTTGAAACTACCCAACGGGTGAACGTCAAAACGCAGTTGCCTTTCCTAGGGTTCAGTGTTGCTGGAGAGCATGTTCGTGGCTTGAAAGCCTAAACTCTAAAGCCGCAAACCACAAGCCCTTAGCCTTCGACCCTGAACCCGAAACCTTGAACCCTACGCCCTCATCCTAAGAAGCAGGTTTTCCTTTCAGTAGGGTCTGCGGTAAGCAACAAGTCCATGTTTTGCTAAACCTTACTATGTAAACCAACAAGCCAGGGACCTTCAACCCAAAGACCCTCAACCCCGATTTGCCAAGAGTGAAGGTGATTGGCAACTTGGGCGTGGCCGATATCGACTCGCGACTTGAGGACGGCGCCTCCTTTCTGACGGAGTTTTTCGTTGAACCCTAAACCCTAAACTCTGAACCCGAAACCCTAAACCCGAAACCCTGAGTGCCCCTTAGAACAGTCGTGTTTAGGGCTTAGCGTTTGGGGTTTGGGGTTTGGGTTTAGGGTTTAGGGTTTAGGGTGTTTTTTGGAGGGCGGGGGGAGAATACGTATAGCATTCATAGAAGCAGGTACATTGGGCGTGCAGGTAGATCCAAAAACGCTGCAATCCAAAACCCTCAATCTCTACTCCTGAATCTTCCCGACACCCTAAAACTCCTACGCGCTTAAAAGCCCGATCCCCTAAACCCTAAACTCCCTCCAGGAGCAGATCATCGATGGCATCGTGTATGCCTTCCAGGACTAGAGGGCTTTTGTTTTTCTGGGGGGTCTCGACTGCGGCTGTAGTGTTCATGAATAGTTCTGAGTAGGGCAAAAGCAAGATCAGCCATCGTCTAACCATTAGAACTACCCTGTATGTGGGGCAAGGGGCGAAACCATCGTTGGTATGGAGGCTCAAGACTTCAGAACCACTTAGGAGCTTGTTTTAGATCAACCTCCTCGTGTTAACCGGGGGGGTTCTGGTAAGACAAGACGTTTCGTCCTACTTTTTCAAGGTTTAGGGTGCAGGGCTTTGTTCCAGGAGCAGACGTCGGACGATACGACCGTGATGCTGAACGGCTTCGGCACGGTGGTGAACTCGCTTGGCCCGCGCCCGTCTCTCAGCGCGCTGTGCCAGTGGTTTGGGGCGGGTGCATAGAGTTTATGGTACTCTCGTCCGCCAACTTAGCTTAGCAGAGGTTCAAGCCAGCTAAGCCGACTATGCAAAAGTATCTGGGACCTGAGATCTTGATTGAGTTTGTGCGGTTGGGCAGGGGCGGGGACCCTTAATGATTCTAATTACATGAGAAGTTCAGTGACGCTTACCACGACCGACGCTGGATTGAACTGAATACACGTAGCTAGCCTATTTATCATGCCAGAAAGAGCCACTCACGAACCTCCAAGTAGGTGTATGTATACAGCGTAGCAAAGATTCTAGGGGTTTCGATATGCCTGGTGGCCTGTACACGGTTTAGCAGGGCTTTTCAGGTCTGTAAGGTTAGGGTTTGTAAGTCTAAGTCCGTTCAGTACCTAAAGCATGTTAGGCAGAGCAGGTTTTTTGGGTCAAGCTCATGTGACATTCCTTTGTGCCGAAATGGCCTTGTACGCCGGAAGGGGTGAATCCAGCTCAAAAGCCAAGCCTGTAACCTCAGACCTTGCGACTCAAAACGCTTCCGCAGGCGCCCTAAACCCCAGAAGCCCCAAGTCCTATAGCTTACGTATCCAACATGCAACGGCTGAGGTGTCAAGCCCTACCTGCCACAGATCGCAGGTATCATCAGGCCCACTCACATTACACAATAGACGGTGTTAGGGTTTAGGGTGTTGGGGTTGTTTCCAGGTTTAGGGTTTTAGGGCGTTAGTAGAGTTCATAGGGTAAACAGGAGGTTTGATGTGCGTTTGTAGGTTGCTGTTTAGGGCTTATGAGTGTTTGGGGCTATAAGGTGCGCCACCGGGCTGAACTGGCGGTGGAAGGACCTGTCTTCACGTGACATGCTGCATTCTTATGTCTTGACGAGACATCATTCCTGTCTTGACGTGCCATGCTGCGTTCGGGTGTACCCGGCGCAGAGGGGGAGGGGTGGTTGACGGGCCTGGCTGCGTCTTCTGCCCGCGACCTCGCTGGCGGAGTGCCTCTCGCTCTTGTGTATGGCAAACACCGCCGTCCTGCTTCCGATTGAGGCCTTAGGGTTTGTAAGGCTCACTTATCGGGATTGTAGGGCTTATGTCTTTTCAAGACCTTTCGGGGTTTTTGGGAGCACCTCTAGGGCTTGTGGGGTTTATCGGGTATGGCTTCTAGGCCTTGGAGGGCTTAGGCTTCGTAGATTGGAGCCCTACACCACTAAACCTCGTACCAAACGCTCTTGTCGACACCAGCCTCAGCGACAGTTTTGTGGCCGTTGTCACAAAGATTGTTGGGCTGTTGCACCCCTCTTTTGTGCAGGCTGATGGCATGAATGCCGATGATCAAAGCTCTATACAAGACTTAGGCAGTCGAAAGCCTGCAGCCTAAAGCCCGTCAAGCCGCAAGCTCGTAAGCCCTAAACCCCCAAGAAGCCCAAACCCCCCCTCCCTGCCCCCCTTCCCCCCAGCAGCCCCACCCCCACCCTCCCCCCGTCCCCCAATTGACAGAGTGTATGGATTGCAGGTGGCGGCTGAACACACCTTCGGCACGCGTTCGCTCCGCGCCCAGCCATTCCAGGGCAGGGGAGCCAAAGCCAAAACATATAAACTTAAACCCTAAATCTTAGATCGCTTAGAGCGACAGGGCTTGAAGTTCTTCAGCGTGCTTTCTGTGGCTGTAGGTGCGCTTTATGTGCACGCCCTCGATGCCATTTCGGTCGAGGGTTTGGGTTAAGGGCTTGTAGGGGGTTAGGGTATGGGATTTAGGGATTGGTTAAACCTGCGCTGCCAAGATTTTCTTACCCAGAGTACCTTTATACACTTTTTTTTGTGAAAAACAAGGTCGACGTGTTCAAATAAATTACAATTTCGCCATGGCGGCTCCTAATCATCCAGGTTTGGGTTAAAGGAGGGACCCTTACTAGTGGTCATAGTCGGGCCGTTTTTGAGGGCTCAGGTATACGAGCCCAACCCCCCCACACCCCAAAACCCAGCATCGAACGCGGAGACATACGGAGGGCACCTGCACCCTTAGGTCAGCAGGCGGCCGACTTGATCGCGCGCATCGCTGTGGTCATGAAGCAGTGTGGCGAGGAGGGCCCCCAAACCCCTAAACACTAGTAGATCCCTGAACCCTGACCCCCCCAGTTTCCAAGCTGAACATGGAACCTTAAACCATCCTCATAACCCTAATCCCTACATTACTACAACCTAAACCCTGAACTTTACAACCTCAACCCCTGAACAACCGTAAACCCTCAACCCTGAGACCCTCCCAAGGCATCCGGAGCAATTTCGGCCAAGCACTAGACCCTGGGAACCCAGTTACGCGAACTCAGGCTTTACGGTTTCGGCTCAGGGTTTGGGTTTTGGCCTTAAACCCCCATGTGGAGTGTAGGGTGGCAGCTCGTGGCTTGCGGTTTCAGGGTTAAGGCTGCGGGTTCGTAGCGTCCCAAGAAACATTCAATGTGTTGGAGATTAGCCGAACAATCTTACACCCTTAGCCTTAAAGCCCATTCAGATCTTCAAGCCCAGCACTCTTCTTCAGGAGCAGATGATGGGGCCCGGCTCTCACATGGGCATGTGGCTTCAAGACCGGGAACAGCGGTTTTGTAGTTCACGGTTCAGGGCTTCATGAGTTTGGGGTTTAGAGTTTAGGGTCTAGGCCCTCAGGGCCTTCGTATTTCAGTTCTGCCTTGAAGCCTAAACCCCTTAAACCCCTAAACCTGAAAGCCTAAAGCTAAAGTCTCGGCTCTGACTCTAAGCTCTATGTAGCCACCCCATGTCGCCCCATGTCGGATAAAGAGCAAAGATTCGCAAGACCCTTAAGACCCTGATTCCGGTAATGAAGCCCTGAGCCCCCAGATGGCCCGGAAGCGTCCCCTGAGCCTGGCGCAGAAGCGGCAGACACCCTGCTGGACTTGACCCTGCGCAACGCTCGGCTCACCAATCTGCTCCGGCAAGATGACCCTCCAGGGCTCCCGCAGGTAACGGCAACGGTTCAAGTGTGGGAGTCGATCTTCGCAAGCTGGCCAGCTGAAGAGCAGAGCTTTGGCTCTTCAAGCACCTATGCCCCTTCCCTCAAACTGATGGAGAACCGGCTTGCAATCCTCACTCTGAGGGAAGGAAGTAGCCGAGCTTCAAGACATAGGCCTTCATGGAACGCGCATGGAATGCTTGTATGCGATCCTCCACCATGGCGAGCTACAGAACAAGCTAGGTACTTCAAAGGACCTACAACCCTAAACTTTCGACCCCTGAACCCTTGAGTCGCGCTGGTTGCAGACCTAAGGGACTCATGCAGGGAAGCTCAATAGGATAGTACGATCAAGGGTTCCTTCTCAGGGTCCCTAGTATCACTTGGTACATGGTGCAGGGCTGAATTTCTAGGCTCCCTGGTTGTGCAGTAGGGCTTTGCAGCGGAAAGGCCAGAGGTTTCGGGGTTTTGGGGTTTGCGGTTCAGGGTTTAAAGTAGGGCCTCAGGACCCCTCCCTAGAGCAATTAGCCCTCGGAGTACCATCGAGTTGCCTTGTTTGAAGAGTCATGTTTGGGTTGAGGCCAAGCTAGTGAGCAAGCAACCTTTTCCCACAATAGCAAGAGATATAAAGCCAACATTTGAGGCAGCTTTTCACGTGTTAAGAAATAAACTCGTTCACGCTGAGCAACCTCCAGATGTAAACCCTAGAGTAGACCAGTGACTAGAGCCTCCCTAGTAGGATGTTTGCTCTTATTCATAAAAACCTTGCAAGCAACAACAGCTATGGCGCTCTGGTTCTAACGGGGGTGTCGATAAGACATGAGTAGAGCCTAACCCTATCCCGAAAACCCTTCAACCCTAAAGCCCGCGCTTCGCACCAAGGCACTTGGGCCTCTTCCTGTACGAGTACCTTGGTGAGGAGTACCCAGAAGTCCTGGGCCATGGGCTGAGCATTCCTTGGTGGTGACCCCGTGAACCCTAGATATTGGAATCATACATACGTACTTACACATGTTTTTTTTCAACATACATAAACACTAAAACATACATATTATGTATACTGCTCCCACCACCTCCTCAGGTGTCTTGACCCTAAACCCCACAACCCGAGATCCCCCACCTTGCGAAGACGAGGCTCCATCTTGGGCGCGCTCAAGGCCATCGTCAACGTCATCGGCATGACGAAGATGACGCCACCCATCAAGGCGGAAGCAAGCAAGTCTTAGCAGGTCAGGGTTTTGAAGGCGTTTTGCTTCTACTACTCGTGCTGTGCGGGCGGCCTAGGCCTTATGGGGCTTGGGCTTTAGGGGTTGAGTTGAACTTTTGAGACGTGCACCGCTCGCAGGTGGATCGCTCTGGGTAGCTCTGTCGTATGCCCGAACCGGTCCTTCGCATGTGACGAATCAAGTCTGGGTGTGGAGCAGCGCTGCTGTGGACAAGCTGCCCTCCTCCCCCCTAAACCCATACACCCCCCAAACCCTAAACCAGGAATGGATCGTTGAAGCCCCGCTGGATGTTTTCCTGTGTTCCGGGTTTAGGGTGCAAGGGTGATGGGTTTGGGGGCTTAGGGGCCCCGGCGTTCCCTCGCAGATTACGGCCGTGTTCGTGGAGCAGTTTTGTATTTTGGGACCCCGGTGGGGAAGTTTGTTGCTTTTAGGGTAACGTGTCCCTGTAAACTCCGAGAGTTCGAAACTGTTTAGGGTTTATGTGTGCTTTTTGGGCCCCCGCTTTTCATGTCTCAAGATGTCCCACGAACGCACTCTACAAAGCCCAAACTAGAAGGAATATACATTGAGACCAACGTCACGTACAGCAATCCCACAGGCGCTTAATGCGAGGTCTGAGGCTTGTGGATCGTAGAGTTCAGGGTTGAAAGCCTGAAAGAATCACATGGGTTTAAGGTCAGGTTTGAGGTTTTAGGGGGTTTTCGGGTTTCTTCGGGGCACAGCAGCAAGCCTTGCGCAGGACCTGCTTCCCCGGCTAACGCCCATCCTGAAGAACAGGCATGAGAAGGTGCAGGAGACGGGCGGCCCGCGATCCCTTGAACCCTAAACCCTCAAGGGTAACCCTAAACCCTGATTCCTGAACCCTAGAGCCAAAGCCCTTGAGCCTAGAGCCTAGAGCCTAAACCCTTACCCCAATCAACTCGGTGGGCCGGGTTTGGGCGTGCTTCAGTTTCCGAGTACGAGCTCCCCTAGGGTTTAGGGTTTCGTGGCAAGAGGCCCAAAACCCCGAGCTATGTACGCGTAACCTACTTGAAAAGGGAAGTATGCTTCAATCATCAGGTATACTTTCCCCTGTCGCCATCACAGGGTATGTGTACACGTATATGGGTGATTCTGGGTATGCACTCTAGTTGTTTGGAGTTGTTTGGAGCTCCCAGCACTTGAATGCCGGGTGCCGCCCGAAGCACCCCAAGCACCCTAAGGAGTAAATGCCTTCAGACCCACACTCACAGCTGGGATGCTTCTATCTTGCAGGAGAACTGCATTGATCTGGTGGGCAGGAGCTGCGTGGGGTGTTGAGAGTTGTTGGTTTTTGTGCGCGCACGAAACAGACTTTGAGCGTTCCAGCCCTGGTAAAGGCCTGTACGCTGGAGTATGAATCCCACAACTTGCGGATATCGGGCTTGCTTAATTTCTCTTCCCTACCCGAACTCGAACCCCAAACCCTAAACCCGAAGCTGAAAGGTTTAGGGATTCGGGCCTGTGCCCTCGATGTCCTACCCCAGAACCATAACCCGTGGCTCTGTTTAAGGCTTTAGGGCTTAGGTGAGGTTGTTCAATGTGCGTAGTTTCGGGTGATACATATGTATACGTATGTTTATGCGCATATACATGTATATGTATAAGTACGTGTATATGCACGCATGCATGCATGTAAATATGCATAAGCTAGAAAGATCTCGCACAAGAATAGGTTCTGGAAGGACAAGGCTGCCCAACGTCTTAGGGTTCCGGATATATGGTTTAGAGTCTGCAAGAGTACCGTTCAAACAGTAGGTGCCCAAAAGCTGTGCTTGAACCCGAGCCCCCTAAACCCTGTGCCTTTAACCTCCCTAAGCCCAGACCCAAAATCTCTCCCAAGCCCTAAACCCAAAAATCACTAAAATCACTAATCCCTAAACCCTCTCTTCCTGCAGAATTGCGGACCGCGGGGCGGAGTTGGCGCCGCCACGCGAGTGGAACCGCATCTGCTTCGACCTCCTCGAGCTGCTCAAGGTGGGGATTTTAAAGGGGATTTAGGGTTTAGGGTTTAGGGGGCTCTTCAAAGGAAGTCCAGTCAAGGGGCCTTGAAAGAGATTTAAGGGTCCTTAAAGCCAGCTTGAGGGAGTTGAAGGGGTTCAGGGTTTCAAGGGTTTCATGGGTGTAGAGGGGTGAGGGCTGTATGGCTTTATGCATGATGGGCTTAGGGCTTAGGGTTTAGGAAGTGGGCACGTCACTTTTATGGGGGGTGGCCCTCCTCACCAAAAAGTCCCCGCCCCCCAAGCTGCTGATTTGTTTACAGGTTTAGGCATACCGAAAGGCCCTCAAATGCCTTCAATTTTCGAATGACACCCAGGGGTATGGCTCAGGTGCCTACAGACCCCCTCAACAATAACTCAGCATATGTGCGAGCCCAACGCCCGAACGGCCCAAACTCTCTTTCCCCGTTTGGGGAACAGCAGAGTCCAAATGATGTCTCTCTTTGCCGATGCAGCACAGGCCCACAAGAAGGCCATCCGCCGAGCAGCGGCGGGAAGCCCACAGCTTCTTAGGGTTGGGCGTTTAGGAATTTAGGGCCAGCTTAGGGCTTAGGGTTTAGGAGGGGTTGGGTTTTGGGTTTGGCTGAAAATGAGCCCACCCTCATCTGGCTGCACGGGCACCCGAATCCTAAACCCCATAAACCTGATCCTCTGCTCACCAGTTCCAACATTCCATCCTAAACCCTACAGAAAGGAAGACCCCAAGTGGACACCAAGAAGGTTTGGCCACGATCCCTGAGCCCCATAAGAGGTATAAAGGCCCTCGGGACCGCTTAGACTGCAGCAGGGTCTGATGATTCCAATCTTCGACAGGACTTTAGGGCTTAGTCTTCCTGTGGACCGGATCACAGTTAAGGATATTTAGGGTTAAGGGCTTTGGGTCGAGGGTCTTAGGCTTTTCGGTGTCGGGTTCTTAAGGGTTTAGGGTGGCGCTTAAGCTTTCTTCGGGCGCTGTTAGGATTTTGGCAGACTGGAAAATCTCGCTGGATGCGGGCCGGATGATTTAGGGTTCAGTGGGTTCAGGGTTCTGTGTTCAGGGATTCAGGGTTAGGGTCTAAGGGTCAGGGGATCCAAAGGTACTCTCGATTCTGCGTTCTTGCGAGACCAGACACACGCTGCTCTCCCCGAAGTGGCAAGACCCGCCGTTCTTTTGTCATCGCTTTCTGGCACAGGTGAGACAGACAGGCCTCTGAACGCTCAACCATCGATCCCTAAGATTGAACTCTTACACCCCGAACCGGTGATGAGCTTCGTGGCTTTGGGCTTTGTGGATGGTGGGTTTAAGGGTGGCTTTTGGGGTTTCGAGCTGTGAAATTCGGCGCATGGAAGAGTCAGGTCAACACCTTCGGCTATATCGCCAAAGCCATTGGTCCTCATGACGCCTTGGCCCGAGCCAAGATTTAGGCTTTTGATCGAGAGCTTGTACCCCAAAGAAAATTAACATGCCCAATAAGCAGAAAAATGCACAAACCCCGTTGTTGGGCGTAGGTGCATTGGCGGTATAGGGTTTGGGGCTTGGCTTACGACTCAGACTGCGTGGGGTTGACGAAGCCTCGGCGTTCCACCCAAGCTCAAGGCAGGGAGGTCCAGCTTCGAACTGAAACCGGGCAGGGCTTCAGTTTCAACTAAGTTCGTGGTCGTGGTTTAAGGTTTGGGGTTTAGGGTTTAGGGTTTAGGGTGTAGGGTTTAGTAATGAATGGGATACAAGGTTCAGCAAATAGTGTGTGGTTGAACTAACTAGACACCTGTACCTGGACAAGACGCCTTGCAGTCCTATTGAATCCCTAAGCCCTCAGGCCCGCAAGCCTTTCATACATGCATACCGGCTGGAGAGCTCACGGAATTCTTAGGTGTAAAGCTTAGACCAGAACCAACCCAAAAAACACACACACACACACACACACACACACACACACACACACACACACACACACACACACACACACACACACACACACACACACACACACACACACACCCACCCACGCACGCACGCACGCACGCACCCACGCACCCACACACACACACACACACACACACACACACACACAGAGAGACACACACACACACACACACACAGACAGAGAGGGCCCTATGCTATACCTGCCATCTACTGGGCTGCTAGCTCCTACCTTAGGCGAGGGTTTAGGGTTGAGGGCTTCCTAGAGTCTCCAGTATATTCCTCAACAGATAGAAGAATGCTCTGTTCAGAGTGTATGGCATTTGTGTAAGCACTTCAGACGTCAGACCCTCTAGCTTCAGGTCCTCAGCACGCTGCTCAATAACCTCAAGGTCCAGGAGCGTCAGCTGCGTATTTGCACGACTGCCTGGGCCCAAGAGAAAGGGGTCATCAGGGACAGCCCTTTAGAACCTCAAAGCTTAAGTTCTCAACCCCCCCTCCCAACCCTTAACCCTAAAACGCTGAGTCCTAAGCATCGCCGGACTCCAAGCCGTGCACCGTAGAATCGAACCTAAGCACTATAAGCCTCTATAAGCCTCTATAAGCCCTGGGCGGCTCGAAGCAGCTGTTCTTCCCTCGGCATCCCAGGTGGCCATCGCGATTGTCGCAGAAACTTGCGGCCCGTTCACTGTTCTGCCGGGGCCTCGTTCTCCACGTTTTGGAGCTTCGGCCCTAGCTGCAAGGCTTCCTGATGAGGGTTTAAGGGTTGAGGCTTTGTGCTTGCCCCTAAACCGTAACCCTGACCCCAAACACCCTAAATTGCCAAGGCCTGCTCTGATGAACGAGTACAGAGTGCCAGAGCTGAATGTGCAGACGCTTGGCGAAGGGTAGCGGTTTCGGGCTTAGGGCTTCGGGCGCTGAGGACAGGGTTGCAGAGTACGGGGTCAGGGTCTCAGTAGGGCACGTGGGAACATGTCCCTTCGCTGAATCCAGTTGGGGTTTTGGTTTCAGGATTTCAAGGTTTAGGGTTTAGAAGCAAGATCCTCACCTTCGGTTTGAAGATGATGGGTGGGAGTGCCCTTAACCTGACACCCCAAACCCTAAAGCATCAACCCCAGACCCTGAACCCCAACTAACGGTGTAGGAGCCTGTCCCATCATGGCCGGCTGCTTCAGGAATGGAGTTTTGAAGAGCTTGAGCTTCATGTTCGAATACATCGGCGAGATGGCGAAGGCCGTCGGATGAGCGGGTTTCTGTCCAGGATTTTAGGGTTCAAAGCAGTGTCTTCGTGGGAGTTGTGATGCCTTGTTGTGTACATAAGTAGGGCTTAAGGAAACTTACTTGGTCACCTATAGCAATCTGTGCTGTTCAGTACTTTTTGGCTGGCACAGTAGAATTCGGATCCCAAGTCAAAGAAACCGAAGCGGGGTATGGGGGTTCGCATGGAGGCGGACATGTCAGGCCAAAGCAAACCCTGTTCTCGTCCAGGTGTTGTCGCGCCGAGCCGTGCTGAGACCCGTACCCCCCTCCCCCCCCACCGAACAGTCAAGCCAACCAGAGTTGCCTGTGCGGGCCCATGGGTCCCGAATTCATTGAAGCTCCGCACACTTAGAGGGAGTCCAGAGTTCATGGATCCACAAATCCATATGGGCTCATGGGGAGCAGATGCGCAGGGAGCTTATGTCTGGCAGGTAGCAGGGAAGTGGGACCGACGGCACCCTCATGGTCTCTCTTTTTGATGGATCGTTGTTTCAATTCGGGCCCTTATTCTTTCAAGTACCGTAGGGCATCACAACTCAGGGAACTGACCAGACGAAAGCGCTGAAGTCGACAATCCTTAAAGGAGCCCTAGATTCCGAACGCCCTTGTGAGAATTAAAAAGCCAAGGTTCCGGAAAGCTTAAAATGGATCCCCTCCCACAGCCTTGAAACTCTAGGTTCTTCGTTCCCCAGTTCCTTGCTGAAGACCTAAAACCTCATGCTTAAACACCCTAAGCCCCAAACAGTGCACTAATCTATGTATGCAAGAACCTACGAATATACTTCTACGAATAGATTTAAAAATGTACCAAAAAACACAGGACTACATCTACGCAGTGACGCCCATCCTCGAGGATGCGCTAATGGACCGAGATCTCGTCCACAGGCCCAGGACTTCACAAAGAAGTTTTATTTGCGGATGCCCGGTACGTACCCTTGTCCACTTTCCGAAGCGTTATGGGGTCAAGGACCAGGATGCCCAGAAGAATCCCAATTCCGCAACCTAGGTATGAGTTCTCTTCACCCCACTTCAGCAATACGCCCTATGCCCCCCTTCGCCCCCCAACAGCTTGGAGGCTGAGGTTTGGGGTTTAGAGTCGAGTCGCTCTCGTTATATCTGGCTCTAACCATCTCTGGGCACCCAAGCTACGCGCCAACCTTGAAACAGCGCCGATGCTCTCAACCCCCAAGTCGTTTCACCCCCGAGCTCCCTCCACTTCGAGTTTGGGCTCTATCGCCTTTGACCGCGCTTTCTGGGAGCTTATCGGGTTATAGGCTATAGGGTCCTCATTTGTCGGGCTTAAGGGCTTGTAGCGCTTGTAGCGGTGGTGGGTTCAGGTCTAGAGGTTCGGAGACAGGCGCGGCGAGTTTCGAGTCCTAAAAACCGCACTCTTATCCTAAACCTTAACTATGCCTTAATTAAGCCTGAATTAAACCTCAATGAAACCTTAAGTAACCTTTATCCAAACCTTAACTCTGCCATAAATTGACAGGCAGACAGCTGCATGGACCTGCAAGCATCTGGCCCTGGGTGTCCACGGCCTCGGTTGCGAGGACTGGCGACCACTGGGTTGGTTCAATTACGGGTTTAAGGGTTCACGGGTTTAAGGCTTCAAGTTGCTTCAGGGATTATAGCTCTTAGGGCTGGACCCTAAAAGCCTCAAATCTTGAGGCTTCGGGACACCGCAAGCCCTACGCGTCTTACTTCTGTGCAAGTGAGACTCGGAATTGCTGCGTACCCCGGACTGTTTAAGTTAGAAGGCCTACGTGCCCTAAACACCAAAATCCCCAAACCTCAAAGAGCCGAAGAGCAAAAATGCTCCCTCAAAGTATGTTTGGTGAAGCAACATCAGCCGAGATGGGTTTAGGGTGGTAGGGTTAGGGGCTCAGCGTGCTGGGTCTAGCTCAGGGTTTTGGATTCTCGGGTTTAGGTTTTAAGGGTTTTCAGGTTTGGGGGTGTTAGGGTGTTCGGGTGTTAAGACGTTAGGGTGTTGATTTTTTAAGCTGTTAGGGTTTAGCTGGCATTCTGCCCCAACTATGTCCCCATTCCCAATCCCCAACTGCGTAAAGGCACAAATCACAAATTGATGAAATCCTAAACCCATGAACCCTGACATTTCTGGGTGCTTCAGGGCTCCGGGCTTTGCGGTTTAGGGGTTTTGGGCTCCAGTAGGGTTTGGAGTTTTGGGGCCTTGTAGTAGTAAACCCTCAACCCTCCGGGCAATTCGGGAGGTCTTGTTGGGGGGCCTAGGTAGGGTTTACCGCTGCTATGAGGATGCGCTGCAGCACCTGATGAATTACGTTTGGCCGAACGTTTTCGAGAACTCGCCGCACTTAATCATGGTTCCGGCCTCAGCAAGGCGTGATACGCCTTCCACAACTCTGGACAGGGGTGAATCCTCCACCGTGAATAGGTCCCAGGGGGCCTACCCTAGATCCTAAGGTTTGGCGCAGGGGCTTGGGGATCATAAGTGTGCACGTTCGAATCGTCTAGCGTGTCCATGTCTCCTTGGGAGAATGCCAATCTATAGACCCTGGACTTAGAACTCCCTCCTTTCCCATCCCGCCACCAGCTTGCCTTCAGGTTGATGCTGTGCGGTCTAGAGTTTAGGGTTTACGGCCCTATGGTTCTCCCCGTCTGGAGCTTAAGTAGAAGTCAAGGCTACCCGGAAAAATCTACCCGAACTTCAACCCTCGACCTTTCACCCCAGTCTACCTTGGTATGGGCACCTAGCCCCTAAAGCCTATTCCTTGAAGGCTAACCCGGAGATCCTAGGTCCCGCATTGCTCAGGCTGTCTTTGATGCCATCGACGGCTTCCGCGTCTCTCTTGGACCGACCAAGGTCCTGCAGTATCTGCTGCAAGGCAAGGACCCTTTGGGTTGACGGGTTTTGTGGGAAACCTAAACCCTAAATCCCGAAGACCCTAAAACGCTAAACCCCAAAGTAAGCCAGAAGTCCTGTAGTATACTGTAGGAGTTTTGGGACACTTCGAGGTTTAGGGCTTAAGGTTTAAGCACTGGGGTTTGGGGAAGTTTCTGTGGAGTCGAGCTTCGGGCTGAGGTTTTAAGGGTTGGGGCTTAGGGTTTGGGGATGGAGGGTCTTCTTCTGGGTTCAGAGTTAGGGGCTTTGAGGGTTTCGGGGTTTCAGGAGTTCGCGGTTTGGGTTTTGAGCCTCATATGCTGCCGAGGTTGCACTTACACCCTGAACCAAGGAGGCTAGATTCGGATCCCAAGGGATGCGACCTGAGGACTATGAGCTTGCAACCCTTCATATCGGAGTTCTATATCGAAGGGCGTTAGGGGTTCAGGGTTTGGGGTTACAGGGCTATCGAGTTGATGGTGTGGGGCTCTAAAGGTCTGGAAAGGTCTAGCAAGTTTGCGTTGCTTAAGATTCCGCACATGTGGCTGTGGGGGTTTCAGGGTTGAGGGGGAAGATTTTTTAGGAGCCTTTCTCCAGGATTGGGACTCAGGCGTTGCTTCTTGGGGCTCGAGACCCGGCTGCGGCAAGCATGGGGCCTTGGGTCGCAGGTCTGCCGATTGCGTAAACATGCTCGGGAGGGCTAAGGGTTTATTGGGCTTAGGGTTTGTGAGGTTTAGGGCTTGGAGGTTCACGTTCCCAAAAGGAGGCCTGTTCTGCCTGTGTCACGGCGATGGCATGGCGTGGTGGCCTTCGCACTAAACACCCTTTTCAGCCAAGCTAAGCCCTAAACCTTCTGGAGTCTTCAATCTGCATCTTCCTACCGGTCTCCCTTGGAGGCTTGTGGCACCCAGCTAGAAGAGTGCGCGCCCCTCCCTCAGAAACAGGATGCGGGTCTGGGACGACGGAGCTTCTTTGGGTGTCCACTGCCAGTGTTTGTTGAAACTGTGAAAATGCTTCAGGAGCCAAGCAGTTCAGAATAGCTTAAGAGACGAGTCCTCTCCCCCCAAACAATTTATGATTCTATATCAACCCCGAGTGCTGAATATTCACGATGTGGTGGAGGGGGTTCAGGGTTCACGGATTAGGGTTTCGGACACCCACCCTGATTTCTTTTCTTGGAATGCTAGGCTCCCTTTAGCCATACGGTCACCTGAAGACCCAAGCGCGAGCTGCCCGCAGCCATTTGCAGGCACCAGCCGCCCCACTCGAGGCCCTGTCCGCACCGCCCCCACTTCGTGCAAAGATGCCAGCCGTGAAGGTCGGTGGATATGGCGTTGCGGGGGACGTCACCCCGACCACCCGTGCAAGCGACGCAACTCCATCAGCGGCCGGCTCGCCTCTGAGCTCCGGCCCCCCATCTCCCAGGAAAACGCTCTCGAAAGAGGAGGTCTTGGGCTTGCAGCAAGACCTGATCGTGGAGTTCTCGTCGCCTGCCTTCCAAAAGGGCCTGCGCCAAGCATCCAGCCTCCACGCCGCCGGCAAGCACGCCGAGTACCAAGAGGCGCGTCAAGCCCTGGTGCGGGATGTGCAGCGGAGCATCATCCCCAAGCATGGCTTCCCAGCCACGGACAAAGGCGTGGAGCAGATGCTCTTGGCTGTGGAGGACTTCCGGAACGACCCCGACGTATCTGTCAACCGACAGATCATCCAGGAGCACTTGTCTTCCTGCGAAGCGCCGGCGGCTAGTGAGGACAAGGCGGCCCTGCCGCTGGGCCACGACAAGAAGGTTCTGGGCAAGCGTGTTACTTGGTCAAGAGTTTGCAGTTAACAGTTTTCCATGTTCCTTTGTGATGAAGGGCTTTCAGCCTGTTTGGAGGGTCGTGGGGGCTTCTTACTTTGGGATCCTGGTGGGGTAGCTGCAGTCATAACCGGCTATCACAAAGCCTAAAGCCAATGAGCCTTCAAATCAGGACATGGTTCGGCTGCTCAAGAGCCTTCAGGCCAGCTTCAGCGAGCCTCTGTTCCAGGAGATTCCCAGCAGAGCCCAAAACCTTCAACATCTCATCATGAAGTCGAGTTAGGCAGATTGGGGGGGTTCGTTCTGCTGTGCTTTCAGGCATGACTGAGCTAGCCTTGGCTTAGGCTGCTGCCAGCTGCTCCCACTTCTGTTCTTGTCGTCTCCCTGAGCTTGGGAAGTGTTGAGAAGCAGGGTCGGGACTAGGCAGGCTCTTGGGACATCTCTCCCTTGCCGGGCTCACAAGAGGATCCGCGCTAGTAAGGTGTGTCAGAGAGGGCTTCAATGGCCCCCCCTAAGAGGAGGAGCTGGAGAAGCTGAAGGAAGCTGACAAGAAGACATCTGGCAAGGCGGCGGCCAGCGGCTTCCTCCAACTCCCTGGGCGAAATGAGCTCGCTTCTAGGACTCCGGGGCATTGTTTGGCTTTTCTTCCCTTCTTGGGTTCGGTTCGAGAGGGTCCCATCTAGGAATGATTTGTTTCAGTTGGCTTTTTAGAGTTAGACCCTAAGCCCTAAACCCCTCAAACCCCCAAAGCCCCTTACTCAACAACCTGAGCGCTGAAGGGGCCAGCCTAGGCTTTCGTCATCCAGGCGAAGTTGGCTCCCTGCTTTGGCTTTGAGGCCAGCAACTCGCAGCACTTTGGGGTTCCTTGGGTTTCAGGGTTTTGGGTTTCAAGGTACAGGGTTGAGGGCTTAGGGTTTGGGGTTTAGGGTTTGGGGTTTAGGGTTTAGGGCTTCGGGTTTAGGCTTGAGGGTCTGGGGCTTGGGGTGTTGAAGGTTCACGGTTGAGGGTTTGTGGTTTGGGGGTTTAAGGTTCAGGGGTTAGGGCCGCTTACGGACCACTCTTCCTTGAAGCCGACAGACCCAAAGCCTCCACAGTATTCCAAACAAATTCTATAGTTTGTGATTGGCGGGGTTGTGGGGGTTGACCAGTTAAAGGTGGCCCCACCGTCGAAGCTAGCGCGAAGGCTTCTCGAGAATCTCGCTGTGACAGTAGGGAAACTGTCGTCGTACTTGGTCAACCCTACTTACAACTACCCATGAACCCTGAAGCGGGGCTTAAACTCACAATCCCCGAGCCCCGAAACCCTCCCCGAAGCCCAGGCAAAGAGGGCGTGCTGCACATGATCTCCACGTGTGGGAAGTTCCTGAGCGACCCCGAGGTTTCCGAGCTCTTCGACGCCGTCAACGCGCGCGGCGCTCAGGGTTTGTGATGCCTTCTAAGAATCTAGGAGGCATACTCGCAAGAGCAGCCTCTTGCCCCAAAAGGCTTTGTTGGAACCATCATGGGGAAATTTGAGGCCTTAGGAGAGCCTCAACCCGAAAGCTACTCCCATCCTGAACTTCCCAGACATGTTGTCAACGAAGCCCTGCTGATGCAAGTCACTGGATTCATGACATCCCCGATTCATGGACAGGCATTTCAATTTTAATCCTTTTTACGCGGCGCATTCTAGTACGGAACCTTTTCGTCAGGGTACAAAAAAGGGACCACAAAGAGAACTGCTCTTTATTTGGTCCCGTTTACTGGTACGCTTGTGTGGGTCCATAGTAACTGGGAAGAAGGCATAGCCCTTTGCGCTGCTGTTCACGGTGTGCAGCACGTTTGGTTGGGGGTCAACATTAAATCTCGAAACGCTTTGGCGTCCTCTCCAAATTCCAAATGGGTTCATGCTCCTGTTCAGCTTCTGCTGGGGGAAGGCGTTCGCGGGACTTTGAAGAGGTCATGGGTTCTGCAGGGACATGAGGCTCGTGCAGGTAGCTGGAAGGATTTAGGGATTACTGTGATCAGGTTGAGGTGAGTGTGTTCCTGTTCCCTTCTGCTGGATGGGGCCCTTGCAACCCTGAATCCAGAATGGAACATGCAAATACATGGCACGCGGCCCAGACTTTTTAGCCTCAGTGGGGTTGATGCTGCCAGCGGTGACTACCACTTGCACCCCTAAAACCTGAACAGTTAAGGCCCCACTCTGCTGCCCCTACAGCTCTGACTACTGATCTGAGAATGAGGGACGAGGTTCCATCCATCTCAAGGCACTCTATCCAGAGCCAGATTTCCTAGCTCCCCAGTGTCCAGTAAGCCAAGCCCTAAACCTTAAAGCCCTCCGACCTTAAACCCCAAACCCTAAACCCGAAACTTTAAAGCCCTCAGACCAGGAAGTTGGGAATGACCCCGGCGGCGTGCAAGGCTTTCCGCGCGAAAGTTGCATGAAGGACCGCGTTTTCTGGGGGTTTTCGGTTTCCTGGCACAGGCCCGGCGTTGCGGTACCCAGAGACTCCAAGACCCTGTAACTAAGGAATATGTGTTCCTTCGACAGTTATCGAAGGGACCTGAGACTAAAAGGAGCATTCCTTATATAATGCAGGGGTACTGGAGCCCAAGAGCCCTTCTGTCAGACTTCAGCCCTCAACCTGCAAGTTCTCAGGGTTGAGAGGTTTAACGCTTCGGCTTCCAGGTCAAAACGCAGGGCCTGGATGCCCTTAGGTTCCCATTGTTTTTCTGCAAGATTAAGCGCCCCCCTCCCCTCCCTTTCCCAATGAATCCAGGGTTTCCCCTTCCCCACTCCTCAATGGATCTACTTGATGCCCGGTAGAAAGCTGTATATACCTAAGGGGCCTATACTTCAAAATCCGAGACGAATCTGCAGGCCAAAAGGCTCCAAGCGTTGTGACCACCGGGCCGGCCGGGTTCTGAAGGATTCCTGCCGGTCCTTCCGCGTATTTGTCGAGAAGTCGAGGGTTTAGGGCTTAGGAGCTTCACTTTGGGTTCACTTCGGGAGCTTCTGGGTCCAGGGGTTGAGGTTTCGGGGTTGCACCCGAAGCTCGAGCTACGGACAGCCTGCCAAGTTCTCCAAGGCAGAGCGAAACACTGGACCCTCACCCTAAGCCCTGCAGGTAGTCTGTCATCACTCTTCAGCCCGTTACCTGCAGAAGCACCCATTGGCTTCGTACCTGCTATGTCCGTGACTTCGACATGTACTCGGCATGTGGGACACCCGAATTGGTGATGCGCAAGGTTAGGCATCCATGTAGTAGACGTCTCGTTAAAGACCTACTTGCCCGTGTTGTAGTCATACTGGGGCTTGCTTAGACACCCTAAACAATGTGCTCCTACATCCAGACCCACCATCTATTGCATCAGAGCTTAACCTGCACTCACCGGCTGCACAGTTTTGGACCACTCCGTTGGCCAGGTGCCTTAGTTGGACTTTTTGCCGCGGCTTTTTGTCTCAACTGCTGCATGAAGGAGGGATGAACCGGACGAGGGTCTAGGGATAGAGCTGATATCTCCAGGCATGTAGGGAAGGATCTGCGACGTAGTTGTCGGTCTGTGAAGCAGTGGCGGGAGTCCCTGAAAGTACAAGAGGCAGAAGCAGCACTTGTCGTCAGCATCATTCTAGTGATTTACATTCCTTGCTGCAAGAGGTCATCCGTTAGACTGAATGCTCGGCAACAGGACTCCCATGAAAGTGGGTCTATTCATGAACCTAGACCCGAAACCCCTTTGTCATCTTCTGTGCAGCCTGACCTCCACAGACCGGATGTGCACGAGTGCATAGTCGAAGAGTCGAACGACATCCCTAAGCCTTAATCCGGATCCTGGGAAAGCGCCAGTTCCCGAGGGAAGTGGCGCAATTTGGGGCGACAAGAATCCCCACAGCTGCAACGCGCCAGAACAAAAAACATGGTTGGGGTTTAGATGTTGAGGGTGTGTAGGGCGGAAGGTACAAGGGTTAGGGCTTACGGCCAGGTTTTAGTAATTGGAGTTTAGATTCCTCCCGAAGGCCGAAGTATCAACCACACCTTTGCTTGAAAATCCGGTGCTGGCCGCTGCTGCTGGCGCTGTAGGGCCTTTTCGAAGTGCTAGGTGCTGCGGCATCCGGCCTGGACATGTCATGATCGGCCTCTTAG